CCGCCTGGGTGAGCGCCGAGCAAGGCGGCGAAGGGGGCGTCTTTGAGTCGCATGGGTGCCGGCGCGCGACTCGCCCGCAGGCCGCCACGACAAAGGCACCCGGCCGCTTTTGTACCTACTCCGGCCCCTTGCATGCGGGTTTTCACATTGATTGGATTGCTCCTGCACCGACGTAGATCTTTCTACAATCCTGCACCCATGTTGCACTTGAATAAGGAGGGGGGGCTCGCCACCCCCAGGGGCGCAGTCCGCCGACCCCCGCGCAGCCCACGCTCTGGACGTGTGCATGTCGTGGCCCGCGCAATATTTCTTTCTTTGATGGCCGTGCGCATCCTGAATCAAATTTCATAGGACGTGTGGTGGTCAGGGGAGGGAGGAAGGGTGCAGGCACGGGCGCTGGCAACTAGGGGTGCACATCGTTTTGCGCTCTGCGTGCGCACGTCTGCACGTCTGCATATCTGCACAGCATGGGCTGCTGTTCAGCCCTAACAGCCCGTTCCCCTCAACAGCCCGTTCCAATGCACCTGCGGCGGTTGGCTCGTGCGCCCGCTTCGCATGACACACGCAGTTTGTGCCGTTCAGCCCCCTGCATCACTGTGCGCACCCACATCACCAAATGTTGGGACCCATGCAATTCACCGCGCCTGTGCATACCTCAATTCCGTGGGGCGCACCCAGCAGCCTGGTCCACCAATTGTGGCTGCTCGCTCGTTGTCGAATTGAGGATGCAGAATGCATGTAACACAGCAGCAACACCCGGGCGCCTGCATTGACAATTGCAGCGTAGCTCATGTGCGGTGGCCAGCGCGCGTGCGGTGGTCCCCTTGCCGCGGGGACACCGAGCTGGGTGCGTTTGATCTGCAGGGGCCGTCATCAGTGTCCAAGGATTCTACCGGGACTGCCTCAGGTACCGGTACACATGTGTCCACAATCGTAATAAAATGATTCACAACGCTTTACTGCATTTCCTGTGTGTGGTTCTGGCTGCCGCTTCCCACGCTGGAATACCAGCTGTTCCGTAGATCTCCGATCTCGCGTTGGGACGAAAATGATGGTTTGGAGGGCGCAGGTTTGCTTGTATAGTTGACCAGAAATTCAATATGGCTGATGCGTGCTCTGTACCTGCACAACGCGGCGCGCAGAGTCAGCAGCGGCACGCGTCCTTGCCGCTGGGCGAGCCGGCGCCCACAGCCAACCCCGCCAGACCCAGCCGGCCGCCTAGTGCGCCCACCACCGAGGTGGCTGCTGCGCTGCTCAGGCACTGCATGGCAGGCTCAGCCCCCGTGGAACCCATCGCAACCGGCCACATCGCCGAAGCGGCACCTCTTGGGCCCGCTTTCACCGCCGAGCCCCAGATGCCGCCTCCTCAAGTCGTCCTCTGCCCTGCCGCCGGCGCCGGCGACACCGCCAACGCGCCAGCAGATGCAACGGCGCGGCGGCCGCCGCTCAGCCGGCCGCCGTCGAACGACCCCGGCCTCGACGCCGTGCTGACGGCGCCTCGCGGCGACTGGGCTGACCTGTCGGGGGCTGTTGCTGATGGCGCGGACAGGGCAACCAGCTGCGGCTACGAGGTGGGCGTGCCGCCGCCCACCTCGCAGTTTTCGGGCCGGGTTTGGGCATGGTATCAAGGTGTTACGACAATTCCGAGCGCGCCAAAACCGCGATACGTTTGACAACACGCAACGCCTGTGCATGTAGGGACCGACGGTTGCAAGCTGCCATGCAAGCCAAACAACCAGCGCCAGTGAAATGGAAGCAACCGACCAACCGACCAGGCGACCAAGCAACCAAGCAACCAACTTGACAGGTGATTCCAACCATGAATTCCACCCCCAGAACCATCACCACGACTGCGAGCTCTGGGGCGGCAGCGACGACGACGCCCCCTTCCTTGCAGCCGCAGACGACAGCCTCCTCATCCGCTGCAGGCAGATCGACGCGGCCCTCGCCTCGCAGCTCCAAAACGTGCGCCGCCGCGTGCCCCAGCGCCGCGGCGCCGCCGCCGGGGCCGCTGCGCCGGCCGAGGGCCGCTCGGCGGGCGCGCCCGGCGCTTCGACGGGCGCGGGGCCCGCACCCAAAAGCCGCGCGGCGGCTGCGTCGCCGGGGCTGCGCGGGCGGCCGCGTGGCGGCGCGCAGATCAACAGGGAGCAGTGCGGCGGCGGCGGCAAGCGGCGGCGCGGGCCTGACAAGGGCGGCGGCAGTCAGCGGAGGCGGAAGCGCTCGAAGTGCTGCCACACGGCCTCGCCCGCCGCCACCAGGGAGGGCAGCGCCGCGGGCGGCGCGTCGCGGGGCGGCTTGCTGCCCAGACCGTCGTTGGCGCAGCCTGTCGAGCCCGCCCCGCCAGGGCAGCCGCCCCGAACCACCGCGGCTGTGGCTGGCGCTGCCCCGCCCCTGCAGGAAGTCCCACGCCCGCCGGCGCCGCGGCTTATCCCCCTCCTGTCTTCTCCCGCCGGCGCCCCCAGCGCGGCGCATGGCCACAGCGGCGGGCCGGCCGTGCTCCCCGCGGACCGGGCGCCAGCAGATGCATCGGCACCTCTGCTGCCGCGCCTGTCGCAAGCCCGCCCCGCCGCCATCGACCCTGCAGCACCGCACGACCCCTGGGGCCCGCCGGCGCACCCGCATTTGCCGGCAGCCGCCACGGCCGCGCCGCGGCGCAGCGGAGAAGCGGCGGTCGACGTCCCACTGGTTGCGTGCATGCGGCTGCCCTGCAGCGTCGCCCCATTCACTTTGCGGGCGGGCCAAACGGCAGCTGCGGCGGCCGCTGCCCCGGTGTGCGGGCCTGCTGCGGAATTGTCAGGTGTCGACCCGGCGCCAATACCTGCGGTTGAGTTTGAGAGAGCGGGAGGGATTGGTGGTGTGACGCCCACTTGGCTTAACCCAATGACACACCCACTGCTGGCTGCTGCGCGGCAGCAGGCGCGAACGATGCAGCAGCAGCTGCTGCAGCAACAGCTGGATCAGCAGCTGGTGTTATGCTGGCAGCGGTGGCGGCTGGGCGCGGGCGTGCGGCTGCCTGCCTGGGGGGGGACAGGCGCGGGCGCAGCCCCACTAGCGTTGTCGCAGCTGTGGCCGCCCCTACCCCCAGCCGCGGCTGGCCCCCTTGAATCGGCAGCCGTTCACTCGCCACAGCTGGGGGCCGGCGCTGACCGCGGCCCCCAGCAGCTTGAGCACAGAGCGCTCCCCGGCCTGCTGTTGTGCGCCCCGCAGCGGCTTGCGAGCCTCGCCGGCGGCGGCTGCCATGCCTTCCGCCAGGACACTTTCTTTGACAACCCCGCTGCGCTGTGGCCCTGGGACGCCCTTGGTATTCCCTTTGAGCTACTCCTCTCAGGGGTGCGCGTCGGCCCTTTGACCGCGATGCCAACGCCGCTGCTGTGCACGTGCGAGGCCGCGCCCGCAGAGCGGCTCACTGTTGCTCATGCGGCGGCAGGGGCGGCGGCGGCGGCGGCGGCGGGCCGTTGGGGCGCCGAGCGGGGTCTGCTTCTGCCGCCCGTCCTGCACCAGGCACCACTGCTGGCGAATGCTCAGGTGTCCTCTCATCTGGGCTGCATGATTCGGCGCGATTCGTGCTTCGGCGGCCGTCCCAGCCTGGTGCAGCATGTAGCAGCCGCGCCCACGGCTGCTGGCGCGGCGCTGGAGACCCGGGCCTGGGGTGATTCGCCTGCGGCGCAGTCGCAGGCGGCCGTGTCGCCGCTGTTCCGGCAGGCGCCCGCGCCGCCGTGGCCGCCCGCAGAAACGTCGCTGTCCGGCCTGACCGCGGCGGGGGCGGCGGCTGCGGTGGCGGACGCGGCGACAGACGAGGAGGGTGCCGCTGCTGCCGCGGTCGAAGTGGCTGGGATGGGCGCCGAGTGGGAGGACAAGGGCGAGGACAGCGATGGTGATGACGGCGACGACGCTGTCCGCGCGGCCTTTGTGTGCTTCAGGTCTGACGGGCCCAACGTGCAGCAGCCGCAGCCGAGCGGACTCTGCGGCTCCTGCTGCTGCGGCGGCGATGATGGTGCGCAGTGCGGCTGGGGGAGGGAGCTGCGATCAGGAATATGCCGGCCGGAGGAGGAGTGGCACGGCGACACGCAGCAGCTGCGTGCCGCACTGCGCGCTGCCGCGGTTGCCGGCCGCCCGGCGTACGAGGCGGCGGCCGGCGCGGCGCCTGGGCAGGCGGGGCCGGGCCGGCGGGCGGGCGGCGGCGCGCCGCGATCGCGGGCGCTGCGTGCTGCAAACTTCCTGGATGGGTCCTCTGGTGCGTTTGACGAGGGGACTGCGCCAGTGGACGGTCCCATCGCCATCGCCAACCCATTGCCTGCACAAGCATCGATGCTGCCGGACTGTTGTCAACAGCAATGACATCCCCATGATCTCATCTCGTCAGCTACAGCACAAGGCTTGCATTGCTGCAGGGCGACCACCTGAGCGGCGTCGCCCAATATGTGACCAAGGGCCCCCCCTGCCCCCGCACATGCTCCCCACCATGGCGCAGATGAGGAGGAGCTGTCCTGTGGCACGCCCCTCAAACCCCACCACCCCGAGCCGTCACAGCGGCTGCCGCCGCTGCGACCCGCCAGCCCGCCGCCCGCGAGCCGCCCGGGACCGCCAAACACCCGGGAGCCGCCGGCCGCGGCGCCGCCCTCGGGTGAACAGGTCGGCTCGCTTGCGCTGCTGGAGGCGGCGTCGCCCGCGCCCCTCGACGCAAGGCGTGCGCCGTGCGGCTGGCGGCGCGACGCACAGGCGGACGCCGCCGCAGGGGGCGGCTGCTTGTTTGGCGGCGATGCGCCCGCGGCGGGCGCGGGCCCTGGTGGCAGCGTGCACCTGTGGCGCGGCCGGTCGCACCTGGATTCGCTCTGGGCAGACGAGGCGGGGTCTGTGGGTGCAGAGGTCCAACGGCTGCTTGCTGACACGCAGCAGGCGGCGGCAGCGGCGGGGGCCCCCGGTGCGGCGCCTGCCGTCGGCGCCAGCGCGGGTGCAGGCGCGCCAGCGCAGGCTGCGGCGGGTGGGGGTGCGTTGGACCCTGTGGCGCTTTGCAGCATGCAGCGCGCGGCGTCCAGGCGAGGGGCGGCCAAAGCGACGCCGCACGGGCCAGCAATATGTGCGGCCCGGACGCCGCCGCCCGCCTCGCGCAGGCCCGCGCCGCGCGCCCGCAAGACGGCGCGGCCCGCGGCCGCCATCAGCCCCGACCTTGGGCTCGCGGCTCCGCTGTGTGTCAGCCGGCTGCGGCAACAGGAGCAATTGGAGCAGCAAGCGCAGCAAGGGCAGCAGGCGCAGCAGGAGCACCGGCGGCAATGGCAGCAAGGGCAGCAAACACAGGGGATCAAGAAGGAGGAGGAGAGAGCGGAGGCAGCAGCCCAAGGCGGGGTAACCGGGGCGGCGCTGCTGACACCTGAGGAGCCTGATTGGCTGTGCTCCACGCTACCGCGCCGCGACGGCGACGCAGGCCTGGGCGGCGGCGCCGCGAGCGGCGTGAATGCGGTGAGCCGCTTTTGAAGGGGCCGCACCAAGCGTTTGACCGATAGATGCGCCCCCCCCTCCCGACGCGCGCGCACAGTGTTGGTCTGCAGGTAAACCCTAGATCCAGCCAGCATCAACAAGGTGTCGCTGTGCGTATTTTTTGCGTACGAAGTGCACAAAGTGGATTTGATGCGTCCATCACTGCGCCCTGCCCACCCCTCAGCCATTCTATTTGCCCTGGTTGCGCCAGCGCCGTCGAGTCACACCTGCCGCCTCTCAGCACTGAACCAACACCCACCTCCACGGCTCGTGGCTTCATGCGTGTGGACCTTCCAAAGGACTCGCTGCGCGCGGCGCGCTCGGCCCCCGCGCCGGCGGGCGCGGCGCCCCACCCAGTCCGCCTCCTGGCGCCTGGCACCCTAGAGGCCGCCAGCGACGGCGCACGACTGCCCGCCCCCGTTCGTGCCCAGCGCGACCCGCGGGCGACGGCGCCGCCCGCCCCTGCGCGGCCGCCGCGGCCGCGGCGGGCTCGGAGTGGCGTGAGGAAGAGCGAGGAGGCTGGCGGCTGCGGGGCCTGTCCGAATAATGCTGCGACATGTGCCGCAGCTGCCAGGCTCAGCGGCGTCCAGGTGCAAGACATGGGGGCCCTCCCGACTGCGGAGAGGACGCAGGGCTGCGGGGCGGTGGAGGCTCTCGGCCCCATGCGCGTGTCAGTGGCGGACACACCACTGGGCCCCGCCGGCCGCCCTGGGCCAGCAGCCGCAGGCGCCTGCAAGCAAGGCCCAGCAACGCCTGACGAGCGCTGGTCGCGGTCAGGGCAGCTGGCGGTGCGCGGCGGCGGCGGCGGCGGCGGCGGCGGCGGCGGCTTCGCGGCAGGGGGCCGCCTGGGGACGCCGCAGGACGGGGAGGGTGCAGGGGCGGGCGGCGGGGGTCCAAGCGGGGTCGGCGACAGCGCGGCTCGGCAGCCGGCGCAGCAGCAACAGCTGCCGCACGGCAGAGGGGCTGCGGCGGCGGGGGCGCCTGTTGGCAGGAGCGGCGCCGGCGGCAGCGGCGCTGGCGGGGGCGGCGGCGGGGACGAGCCTCCGTTCTGGCGCCCGCCTGGCTCGCACACTGTTGAGGCCGTAGAGCCCGTGAGAGGCAGCAACAAAAGGAAAGTTGAAGAGACGGAGGAGGGGGAGGAAGAGGAGGGGGAGGAGGAGCCGCACCAGCCAGGATGGACGCGCCCCTCACCGCAACAGATGGAGGTGGAGACAGGCCAAGGCCCCGAGCCCCCAGCCGCGCCGACGCCCGCGCCCGCGCCGCCCGCCCGCAAGCGGCGCCGCGTGCTGCTGCTGCCGCGCGGCGGCGGCGGGGCCGGGAGCGAGTCCGATTCAGACGAGCCCCTGCTCAGCGGGTTGGAGGCGTCGGGCGGCGACAGCGACGGCTGTGGGAGCGCCGGCGGCGGCGCCGGCGGCCAGCATGGCGCGCGGCTGCAGAGCCTGGCCCAACGGGGTCCCGAGGCCGTGCCCGCAACCCGCGCTGCCGCGGCGCCGACCGGGCGGCGCCGCGTGCTGCTGCTGCTGCCCCGCGGCGGCGGGGCCGGGGATGAGTCGGACAGCGACGAGCCCATGCCTGATGCGGAGAGGGCACGGCGCCGGGATGGGCGCGGCACTCGCGCCGGCGAGGGGTCCGCGGAAGGCGGGGGGACGCGAGGGCTGCGGCGGCCGCAGACCGGGGCTGCGCCATCCGGAAGCTGCATCGCTGGAGGGGAGGTAGGCCGCAGCTGCGTAGGCGTGGCCGGGGGCCGGCAGGCGGGTCAGGCGGGCGGCACTGCAGGGGGGCTGTGAGGAGATGGTATGCACGGGGGCGAGGGGCCGCAGCTTGCGCGCGGTGGGGGCTGGAGGACGGGTGCACCCCTCACGGACGTGGGTGGACGACAGGGGGAGGGGCAGAAGCGGGCCCGCGCAAGGCGCTTTGGTGTGCTTGTGCACTCACCCCGCGGCGTGCACGGCTCGGCAGCTAGGCGGAAACTGCCGCAACGCGTGGGATTGCGATAGCTTTGCGGCGCAGTTGTAACATTCCATGCACGATTACCTTGATGCAGCCCTGCCTGCCGACTGCGCAGCCACTTGACGCCGGCAGCGTGCGCCAGTGCATTTTGAAGTAGTCAGGTGACACCCAGGCACCCTGCATCAGATCACCACTAGCCTAAGCGCGCGGCGCTGCGAGTTGATAACAAATTCACAGCATCGCGGCCATTCTTGCTCTGCAATGTCAGCTTGATATGGTAAATCCAAACCATCTGCCAAGCACAGCGCACACAACCCATTGGGCAACACATCTCAGTACAAAAAGAAATTATTGAGCTTAAATTATTTATACGCGAGCAGAGATGCGCTCGCTAGTAGGACTTGAGCGCGGTGGGACCGCCGCTAGCCGCTGCTCTTCAGGCCAAGCCGAATGCCGGCGACTGTTCGCCAGCATCGAGCGGCGCAATTATGCATCGCAAGCCTACGGCGCTGCGGCACTTAAGCATCTGCTGCAGGTGCCAACTGGGGTTTGTGCCAGGGCGCGCCGGGCCCAGCCCTGCCGCTGCGCGCCCTCCTCCCTGGCAGAGCAGCCGGGAGTGAAGCACCCACGCCCCAGCCCGCAGCAGCAGCAGCAGCAGAGCCAGGGCGGACGAGCACCAGCCAACGCGTCCGACGGCGGGCCGCTGATCGCGCTCGAGGCCTGCTCGGACGCTTCGCCCTGCTGGCTGTGCCGCGTCGCCGGCTGGCGGCGCCTGCGGCCGGCGGTGAGCCGCGCGCGGGGCCGCGCGGCTGCCGCGTCACTCGTCTGCTTGCATGCGGTGACCGTGTCTTGACACACTGCGAGCATGGGCCTTGCCTGGGCGCTGCGGGCACCACTCCTCTACCTTGCCCTACTCGACCCTCTGAGAGCACTGGTCAACTGTGTTAACCCCGGTCAACTGTGTCAACAGCTGTTGACCCCGGTGCACTCGACCTCCAACCCGGCAGCAAACCGAGTTCCTCACATCAGCCATCCCTTGGGGGGCCATCTTCAACAGCGAAGGAGCTGTCATGAGTCACTCAACCAAGAAAAACCGCGCGTGGTGGCCGGAACGTGTGGGATCTACAGGTGCGTGACGCTGAGGCGAGCCAGGCAAGACTTGCCGTCTGCAAGCAGGCACCCGCCGGCGTGCAGTGGGGTTGCTGCTTGCCCTCCCACCAGCAGCAAGCAAACCCCAGACTTCGGGCATGATTGCCATTTTTTCGGCCAAACAAGAACCAAAACCGCCAAGCAGCCCCGGGAGATGACCAGTTGATCTAGTGCCCGCAGCTGCAAGGTGCGCACAACGACATGCACTCTCCCCTCCGTGGCAGGCCGAATATCAGACTGGCAGCCCTTCCATCTCGGCGGCCTCGAGCCAGGCGCCGGCGGCGACGCCGGCGGCGGCGCGGGCGGGGCGCCGGCGGACGGCCTTTGGTTCGACCCCGAGGCGGAGCAGCTGCCCCGCGGGGCGCGCGTGAGCGGCGAGCCTGTCCTCAGCTTCCAGGGCGCGGGGGTCCTTGTCAAGGTGGTGGGGGCGGAGGCCAGCGCGGCGCAGGCGCTCGCATGGCTGCAGGTGGGTCTATGCGTCACCATATTCCCGCGTCGTCGCCAGGGTTTGGGGTTCAGGTTCCAGGGTTTAGAGAGCTTCGGGCGATTCAGATATTGCCTTGTAAGGGGCACATGATCAGGGGTGATGTGCTGCGGCTGGGTCCGGCCCCCGAGCATGGTGAAGCACACGTGTCCGCGACTGTAGGGCGCAGGCGTCGTGCCCTCGGCTGGCATTCATTCGAGCAGCGCCGCATTCGATTGGCTTGCCGCCACATGACGCCGGCGGTCCGCATGATCTCGAGCCTGGACAGCGTGGCCCCACGGCTTCCCCATGATGCAGGCAGATCCTTTGTTCGACGGCGTGCTGTCCCTTGATTTGGAATGGTACGCGATGCACATGACCGGCGGCGGCAGCGGCGGCGGCGGCGGCAGGGGCGGCGGCGGCGAAAAGGCCCGCGGTGCGCGTGGGCGGGGCGGGCGCGCCGTGCCGGAGGTGAAGAGGAGGACCGGCAGGGTGGCGCTGATGCAGGTGCGCGCCGCCGCACGCGTGGGCAGATGTGACACCGGCACCACATCAATCCTGCAACCCTCTGCAACCCGCATGATGCCAGCGGCGCCCTGCGACGGGCCCGTCCCGGTCGCGGCAATACCGCCGTCAGCCCAACATCCCAAGCTGCCGCACGCCCCCGCCCGCCGGCGGCCCCTCCGGCGCCGCAGCTCGCGTCCCCCAGCCGCTGCGTGCTGTTCCACATCTCACAAATGGGCTACGAGCTGCCGTCGGCTCTGCGGGACTTCCTGATTGACCCGCGGTGGCTGATCCTTGTTCAGGTGCGCTGCGCATGTGGATGGATGCGACGCGCAAACCTGCAATGAGGCGTCTGATATGTGTTTGCATGCATGTGTGGTCGTGCATCGTGTGTATGTGTGTGCGTGCGTGTTTTTGTGTGTTTCAAGGCAATGCTTTGCAACACAATGTGAAGAGCCTGGTGCCCAGGGCATGCTCCCAGAAGTGTGGCCCGTCCGGTGCTCTGACTGACTCCTCCTATTGAAGTGGCCCACCCCAATGCTGGCTGCGTGGTGCAGGACTGGGGAGGGTCCGACGAGAAGCGCTTCGTGCGCTCCTTTGGCTTCTCCGGTGCGCCCCTGCACGCGCGTTTGCGGCCTGCACCTCAAGCCTCAAATCCCTTTGCACCAACCATCAATCAGCGGCAAGCCGCCACTCGCCCAGCTTGCCCCAAGCCCCTCACTTGGCTTGTTGTGAGCGGGTCCGGCCGCAGCCGGCGACTGCACTTGCTCACCCCTCACAGCGCTTGAAAAGATATGCGGCTCGCACCTGCCCTAATCGAACCCAAACCATTTTCCCTGTTCAGGTAAAACGTCCATCCCAAACCTCGTGGATGCGCAGGACGTGGCGAGAGGGATGGGGTATCTCAGGGTGAGCTGGCTATGACCCCACCCAATCACGCGGGACCATCAGATGACATGGCAGCAATTTCCATCCCAGCAAATTTCGGCCCCCGCCGCTGGCCCCTCCTGCGAATCTGCGGGCGGCCGCGTGCGCGCCCGCGCGCCGCTCACGCATCTGCCGCGGCTAGGCTGCCGTGACACCTGCCCCACCCCCCCCCCTCTCCTTCTCCTGAGCTGACGCCCCGCCCTTTCGGCCGCCTCTTGCATCCCCAAAGGTGGGCGTGAGGGCCATGACCCACTCGTGGCTGGACCCCAGCTACACCAAGAGCCGCAACGTGTCGCGGTCAGATTGGGAGGTGGAGAGCCTCACACAGCGGCAAGTCAGGTGCGCTCGTGGGAGGTCAGCCGCGTGTGCGTGGTGGGCCTAGCGACGCAAAAGGTTTGGGCTGCAGCGGTGCGCCGCCAGAAATCAGGCGCGTGTGCTGCCACTCCCGGCGGGGCTGCGTCTTCGTTGCACCGCCGCGCTGCGCCCGCGGCAAGAGTTTGTCCCACCCCTTCGGGATTCAGCCGCGCAGACTCATTTGCTCCTTTGCCGTAGCACGCCCCCCACCTGCGCATGCACAACAACGAACCACCAACGCGCTCAACTGCAGGTATGCCGCCTTAGACGCGCTCAACATTGGGTGGATCTACCGCGCGCTCTACCGCGCCCATCTGGCGGCGCTCGCTTCGCCGCAGGACGCGGCCCCACCCCCTGCCACCGCCGGCACGTCCCCTGCCGCTGCCTGCTGCGCGGCATGCGGGCAGCCGTTCGGCGCGGGGAAGAGGGCGGGAGGCCTGCTGTATGCTTGCGAGGAGCCCGGCTGCAAGGAGGCCGGCGTCTCGATGGGGGGCAGGGCGTACATGCAGCACTGCGCTTCCACGGGCCACCCGTGCACGGCGTGCGAGGAGGAGTGCGAGGCGTGCGGGCGCATGATGATGCTTCGGGGCGCGGAGGCGGCGCGGCGGTATGCGGCGTTCCTGAGGAGCTGGATACGGCGGCAGGAGGAGCTGTTGGCAGCAGCGGGCGGCGGCGGCGGCAGCCGCGCGGGAGCGTCAGGTGAGTCGGCGTCAGGAGAGTCAACGGCGGGCGCCAGCATCGACCAGGAGCAGTGAGGCTGGCTCGGCGGCATTAAGAAAGCTTTCGCTGTTGTGAGAAAGCTACGCCGCCGCGGCGGGGGCTGCTGACATGCTGGTTGCCTTTCATCAAGTGATCAGGGGGAGCCCCTCCCAGAGGAGGGGTTGGCGGAGCCAGGAACTGATGCACGTCACCGCGTGGGCCCTCTGTATGCGCTTCATCGGGCATACAATTGGTAACATTTTGACCTCAGAGCGCTACTGGGGGCTGGTATTGAAGCAGTAGCGCACGCTGAGTGCGCTTTGACAGCCGGTGGAACCGACGAACCCGCCGCCCGGTGGCCCCTCTAATACCAGCCTGGCTGTCTCTGCTTTATAAGTACGAGCATAACAGCATTACCATGATTCTCAGCACGCCATAGGCAAACATTATGTGCGTTCAAATGCGGGCCCGCGGCCGATCTTGATTGACTGGCAGCTCCTGCTCTAAATGATAGCTGACAGTAATATTTGATATCTTCAAATACTGACGATCACCTTGGCGCGTCTGGTGGGGCGCAATGGAAAGCCTTACGGCCGCGGGCACGAGCTGGCCCCTGCACGACCTCGACGCCGGCATGGAGTCTCCAACGCATGTGTGTAGCATCAGGATCATGAATCGGTGATCGGCCGAGCCAGGGGGTGCATTAACACCCATGAACCGCCATGCCGCTTGAACGCAGGTCGCGCACAGCTGATGCGAGCCTGCTCCGCTGCTAACAACACGCACCGCGCACCTGCTGCCCTTCAACACTGGCCGCATGCTGGGCCGTCGCGCGTCCTCACCACGATACATTCAGGAGCACCGCGAACTGCGCACCATACGCTCGGAGGCGCGCCGCCTGCAGCAGGAGCTGCACCTCGCGTCGGCGCGCGAGGCGGCGCTCGCGCAGCAGCTGGGCCGCAGCCGCGCTGAGGCCGCGGAGCTCGGGGCGCGCCTCGCCAGCGTCCAGGACTCGTCGCGCGCGTCGAAGCGGTCGGCGCGGGAGGCGCTGGCTGAGCTGGCGGAGGAGAATGCGAAGCTGGTGGCTGCCTATGTCGAGAAGCGGCGCGAGCTGCGGCGGCTGCAGGCACGGCCGGCTCCGGCAAACAACTGTGTTGGGGGACTTGACACAGCAGGGTGTCGCGGCGTCCTCAGGCGTCTGGGAAGGGAGACACGACTGTACTTTCGCGGTCCGGATTGCAGCCGCCCGGGTTCGCTCTCTTTGCACATCCCTCACTGCTTCCCACATCGCGAGCGCTAACCCCGCCGCCGCCGTCGCCGACGCCGCCGCCTTCGCCTTCGCCTCTGCTGGCGGGCCTGGTGCAGGAGGCTGAGAAGGAGGACCGTGCCGCATGGGAGCAGCGGCTGCGGGCGCTGCAGCTTGAGCTGGAGGTGTCCAAACAGGAGGCACTTGAGCTGCGGCAGCAGGTGGCCCGCCTGACGTCCGCCGCGCACCAGCAGGCGGAGCGCGAGGAGGAGGAGCAGGAGCGGCGGCGGCGTGATCAGCAGCGGGAGGAGCGGTGGCAGCGGCGTGGGGAAGAGAAGGAGGAGGAGGAGGAAGATCAGGAGGGGGAGGGAGACCATGGCAGCGGCAAGGAGCCGCCTCAGCTGCCTGCGGTGCAGCAGGTGGGGCGGTGGACCCCCTCGCCGCCGCTGCAGCAGCAGCCGCAGCAGCGGCGCCGCCGTCGGCAGCAGCCGGTCCAGCAGGAGGAGGAGCTGGGATCGCCGCCACCGCTGCATCAGCATAATGGTGATCTTGGGACCCCTTCGCCGCCTCGGCGGCAGCAAGAGCAAGACGGCGAGGAGGAGGAGCAGCAGCTGGGTGGCTCGCAGGCCAGCGACGGCAGGCCGTCCCCATCTCCGTCGCCGGTGATGAGCCACCCCATCATCGACAGCCCTCGCGACACCGAGTCCAACAGCCCCATGCCAGACAGGCAGGCGGCAGCGGCCGCGACGCCGAGCGGCGAGAGTGGGTCGCGGGAGTCTGGCGCTACGGCGTTTGGCGGGCGGCTCGGGCGCGGCAGCACGCCGTGCACAACGCCATCCCCAGGTGAGCTGGTGGGCCGGGGCAGGTGGCATGCGACGCCAGGCAGCAGAGGTGCGGTGCGGCCGTTGCATTCGTCACCGCCTAGAGTGTTGCCCACGAGACGCGACCGGCGCACAGATGGTCAGCAGTACCTACCACACGGCTGCCTTGATCGTACCACTGCCGCATGCCCAGCGCCGGCGTCTCTTCAGCCGCCTGCATCGAGCAGCGCCAGCACGCCTTCGCCGAGCAGGCGCACAGCCAGCCAATGCAGCGACGGGCAGCGAGAGCGCGGGTCGCCACCGTGCTCCCCGACCCCTTGCAGCAGGCAGCGGCAGCCGTCTGCTGACGGCGGCGACGCGGATGGCGGCCTGTTTGGCAGGTGGGACAGCGCCGGCCCCGGTGCGGACGATGGCGCTGCGACGGAGCGGCGGCCGCGGCGCTATGCGTCTGGGTGCAGCAGCACCAGGGACGACATGGCGGAGGCATCGGCGGCCGCTGCCGAGGAGGCCGCCGCAGACGCCGCTGGTGGTGATTGTGGCTTCAGCCCAGGCTGCAGCCCATCGCCCATGGCTTGGTCGGCGCCCACGCCACCTCCCCAGTGTGACCAGCCAGGCCCCCAGCATGATGCCCGGCCGCCCGCCACCGCGGCCGCGGCTTCCGCGGCCACTGCAGCAGCCACGGCGGCCGAGGCGACCGCGCTGTCCGCCGCAGCGGCGGCTCTGCACCGGCTGCGGCAGCAGGTGGCGAGGCAGGCGCAGGAGCAGGGCGTCTCGCTGGCGCCCAGGGCCGTCGTCGGGGCCAGCGCCCTGCAGCACATGGCGGAGCGCAACAGGTGCGTAGGCTGGGCTGCATCTGGCAGCGCAAGCAGCGCGTTGTAGCCATTGTGACGGCGTGCACAAATGCGCATTCGCCATTGCATGCCCACGCGCGCGCCAGCATGTCACTTCATATAAAGCTGACGGCTCGACGTCCACCATCATGTCTTACACCAGGGCGCTGGAGCGCGAACTAATGGCGATGCGGGCGCAGAGGGATGCAGACCGGTCGCGCGCCGAGCAACACGGCGCTGAGCAGCAAGCCGGTGCGGCGGGCAGCCAGCCGGCGCCGCAGCATCAGCAGCAGCGGCAGCAGGAGCAGGAGCAGCAAGGGCAGGAGCAGGGGCAGCAGCAGCGGCCAGTGCGGGTCGAGCAACAGCAGCAGCAGGCGGAGCGGGCGCAGCCGGCGCTGCGACCGGGCGAGCAGGACGCGGCGCAGCAGCAGCGGCCGGACCAGGTGCCGGGCGACGGGGACCCCCAGCAGGAGGGGCGCGGGCCCAGGGCTGACATGCCGCTTATGGCCCAGCGTGGCGACGGCAAGGGGACCCAGCAGCAACACTCGGCCAAGGACCAATGCGGCCCCTCAGACCAGGAGCTCAACGGGGACGCGGAGCCCATCGCAGCTCCTGCTGCAGCAGCCGCCACGACCGCGGCGCCGCAGCCGGACCAGGCGCACCGGCAAGCCTCGGCCGACGCGGCGGCGGCCGCTGAGGCGGTGGCGGCGCGCCAGGCGGAGGAGGTGGCGGCGCGCCAGGCGGAGGAGGTGGCGGCGCTGCGGCGCCAGGCGGCATACCTGGCCGCGGAGAACGCGCGGCTGCAGCGGTCCGTGGCGGAGGCGGCGGCGCTCAAGGCGCGCGTTGAGCGGCTGCAGCAGGCAGAGAAGCTGAAGCAGGTGCGGCGGGCTCTGACGCCGTGGGCCGGCGCCGCATTGGCACCTAGGGACAGGCACCGTTGCCCCTCCAATACGCTGGGTCACACACTCTGGTCCAGCCCCGCTCGTTTAGGTTCGACTGTAGACCGTCTCTCACACGCCCCAGCCCTCCACTCATCTCGCCCCCTCGCTGCACCGCTGCACCCCTCCCCTTCGGCCCCCGCCCCCCATCAGCTGGGCAACCGGTCCTACCAGGGCCGCCAGCACCGCGCCGCCTACCGCTACTACACAGAGGCCCTGCAGCTCAAGGTGGGGGCCTGAGATCTTGTGGGGGATCATTGGCGGGCATAGAGGTGATGGGTAGTGAATACGGTGATGACAATGGTAGATTGTGGGGGAGGGGAGGAGACGCTGGCGGGTGGTGGTGTTGGTGGTTGTGGTGGTGGTTGTGGCGGGGTTGTGGTGGTGGTGGTGGTGGTGTTGGTGGTGGTGATGTGGGGGGAGGCAGTTAGCCCCTAGCATCAGGGCGCAACCACGCCTGTCTGTTGCAACGGCTTGAGTGGTTCTGAACCCTTGACCCTACAGGCTGCGACCCGAGCATCCATCCTCGACCCAGTGCACCCTCACCCGCGCCACCCCTGCTGGCCGCGCCGCGTCCCCCCCCTTCCCTACAGGTGGAGGACGCCACGTTCAACGCGGTGCTGTACTGCAACCGCGCCGCGGCGCTGCAGGCGCTGGGCCACCACCTGGACGCTGTCGCAGACTGCTGCGTGGCCGCCCACCTGGACGGACGCTACCCCCGCGTGCTGCAGGTGAGACCAGAAGGCGTTGCACTGTCGTCCGCTTCTGGAGCCAGGCGAGCTTATGCCATAACAGACTTGCCATTAGGTTTCAGGGTTTAGCAATCAGGGTCGAAATCTTGAAACGTAACCCCAATGCTGGTGGCTTTGTGTGGTGATAAGGGCGGCCTGGGTCGGGGCACAGTCACGCCAGTGGGCGTCATGCACCATGTCTGTGTGCGTCTGCAGACAACCGCATGCCTCGCTGAATGGCCCGAAATGGCTGGCTGCCGTGCGCGATGGATCGGCATGCTTCCCTCCTGCCCGTACACCGCACCGACCGCCCCTGACACGCCGCGCCCGCCGCTGCCCTGCAGCGCCGCGCCGAGGCGTTTGGGGCGATCGGGGACTATGGCAGCGCATGCGCCGACCTGCAAAGGCTCTGCGAGCTGGTCCAAGCGCAGCACGCCGCCCAGCAGGCGCAGCACGCCGCACGCGCCGCCGCCGGGGCGGGCGCCGGCAAAGAGGTGCACGCGGACGAGGACGGCGGCGGCGGCGCGGACGCGGCCGCGGTGCGTGAGGCGCGGGCGCGGATGCAGGAAGCAGAGCAGAAGCTGGCCGCGCGCGGGCGGGAGGGGGTGGACCACTATTCGGTGCTGGGGCTGCCGCCCAGCGCGACGGCGGCGGACGTCAAGGCGTCTTACAGGTGGGGCGGGCAAGCCAAGCTCACGCTCGCTGTTCGTTTGCTGTCAGTGCAGCCAGGGTTTTTGTTTCAGCTTGCCTGGGTCATGAGCCACCTGCTTGTGCTGGCTTGAAGCCCAGGAGCTACCAATACGGCAAGCGCAATTGTGCATGGTGCACTGAAATTGAAAATGAGAGCTGGGGAATCCACATAGCAGACCGTGGGGCCAAAGGGTGCGTTGACAACAGCACATGTCGATGGGCGCATTGCTCCTCCATTCCTTCAGGCGCCTGGCCCTCAAATACCACCCGGACAAGGCCACCCACGCGTCCCACAAGGCCGCTGCTGACGTCATCTTCAAGCTGGTCACGGCTGCGTACTCGGTGCTGTCAGACCCCCAGAAGCGCTCGGAACACGACCGCCGGCGAGCGCTGGGCGTTGGGGCATTTGGCGGCCTGGGCGCCGCAGCCGCCGCGGCGCACGCGCATGCGCACCGGCCGTTTGCCTCGGGGGCGGCGGGAGGGGCGGCAGGGTCAGGGCACGCCACTGGGGCGGGCGCGGGGGCCGGGGCCGGGGGCAGATGGTATGGTGGGGCGCACAATCATTGGCGTTACGGCAGCGGAGGTGCAGGGGCGGTGCCTTGAGTGAAGAGCGAAAAGCTTCCGTTCCTGGGTTTGGTTGGACATGTGGCATAGGCACAGGCGCTGCCAAGGCTGTGCTGCAGTTGAACCTGAGTGACCTATTTTATGCTTGCGCAAGCAGTCCGGCTGCTATTTCGGCTCCAGTCCTGTTCATGCGGAATCCCAGAGCCATCACCGGCACAACCTTTCAGCCTCATTCTTTGTTGATCTGCAGTCATGGACATGTCACGACCTTTTGCTGTGCACCAGGTTGTTGTGTCTAGTTGGTCGGGGCAGCCTGGGCGCCGAGCCATCGCACGTGGGTTCACAAAAGGATTCAAGGGTGCTGTGTAATGAGTGTTGACCAAGTAGCGGACCGGGCGTTGTTGATGCGTGGACGTGCTGCAGCAACAACGCTCAGCAGCACCCCAGGGTGCGGTGTTATACTTTGTCCTGCCAAGCTTTGGTTTTACAAACTTCTGGTCTGTCCCGGCGACGCCACCACGTCAGGCGTGTATGTTGGAGCACGGCGACACTTGTGCTTTGCATTCGGTGGCTTCCACACGCATGCGGTAGCTCTCGATGAGCTCTCGATGAGCAATACTCGTCTGGCTCATGACTTCACAACCCGCTTTCCTTCGACAATCCAGATCTGAGCGCACCCCCAGGCGGGCCTTCTGATACAAGATTGAATAGTATATAGGTTTCTTCGGATGCACAGAGGTGCACGCGTGGCTCCTGGAGATCGCGCGCGGGGAATTGATTTCGAAGGTCAAACCTCGCGATGGCGTGCGGGACATCTGGAACAGGAGTGGATTGCACCTTCTTAAAGCCAAGCTGGTGGCCTGCGCTGTGCTGGCTGCCTTGCGCGCGCGCCTGCACACACCCTGTGACTTTGTGCACAACGCCACTGGCGCCGCCCTCCTGCCGCGCAGCCCCATGAGCGACGCGGGGGACAGCAGCCGGCACTCCTACTCGACTGGCGCGTCGGGCGCGGGCTCGAGTGCCGCCAGCGACACCAGCGATGCCGCCGCGCTCAACGCCCTCGCGGACAGGGGGTGAGCAGCGGCACGCTGATCGTGCTGTCTCCTGTGCGCGGGAAAGGATGCCGCTGTTACCCAATGCGGCGTGCCGCCTCACAGGGAACCACACAGTCTGCTGGCACCAGGCCGCAGGTGCTGCTTCAGCACCCAAGCATCAACCCAGCCCCTGATGGCGCCGCACGAAGCAGCCTGCAGGGCTCAGAGCCCGGCCATTTACGCTGCTTGCACCATTGCACCGCAGCGACAACAATGATGGCTCCATGGACGACCTCATGGACTCAACGCGCAAGCTGGATGAAGGGGTAGGATGCTTCAACGTCTGACAGCAGTGGGATCAAATGGCGCCGCGGCCCCAGCCCTGGCCGCGCGGTTTGAGAGTATCAGGCCCTTCATCCCCGGCCTCACGGCCGAGCTTTTTGCTCCTTGCCTGTCTTGCAGGGCCGCCAGCGCGCCGCCCGGTTCATACCTGACACTGCAATTGGTTCGCGCTAAATGTTTGCATCACGCAGATCTTTGCCATGCTCGTGCTGCTCAACAAGAACCGCGGCCTGGTGGACATCCGCTGGGTGCTGCTGCGCATGCTGTTCGAGTGCCTGCAGCTCTTCCGCATTGTGTTCAACACCTACTTCACGGCGTGGTCGATCAACAAGGAGCAGTGGGCTTTCAAAGCCATCCACTGGGTCCTGATCAGGTGGGCAACGCGCGTACTGGCGCCGCTGTCTGTTCCTGCCGCCTGCCCGTGTGCCTGCCAGCACCTGGCCAACATGGACGACAAAGTGCGCGGCAAATCATTAAAATGTGCTGTATTGGCGGGCAACGATGGCGCCCATCTTGAACATCATTGAAATGGAACCCTTGCACATCCTGCCCACCTTCCCGCAGAGGGCTGGTGTTTCCTAAGGTGGGCTGCGAGCGTACCGCTGCTCCCGCTGCGCCGCGACGCTGCTTCCCAGCTAGCTTTGTATTGGCCGGGTACCCTGTACTCTTGCAACCCGCCCCTTGATATGTCACCTTTCACAATGCCCAACACGTATTGCTCTGACGGCCTACCTGTTTCTAGGGCTATGACATGTACATCAGGGTGTTCTACGCCCTGGCGGCCATCGTCTTTGTCAGCCTCATACTGGCCGCCTGGCTCGCCATCGTGAGTCGCTAGGGCGGGCTCATGTCAGCTGTTGCAGCCACCTACTCGTCCAAGCGCACGCGGCCTTCATAGACTTGCAAAAATCTCCCGGCTGTGCAAGGTGTTGACTGCCCTCCTGGTGGACGCTGTCGGTCTGCTTATCACCCCTCACTGAAACTCCTTGCTATGCTCAGGTCCTAAAAAAAGATGATGCGACAGAAGCCGGCTGGACGGGCAAGTGAGCGACTGCCGAAATGCATTTGCTTGGCACTGAGCGCGAACACATCACAGCATGCTGGCTCGTGGCCGGGCCGCCGGACTGATCTGGCGCCAAACTACAAGGTGCTTGTGGTTTGGGCCGCCGCGAGCGCCAGCAGGAAGCAATCAAATCCCCAGAATCTCCTCTTGCCTGTGTTGTGCAACCTCCCCGCCAGGCTGATCGCCTTTCTGCAGTTCCTGTGTTTTCTGGTCTACACGGTCTGCTGGATCACCATCCTGGACTTTGTCGTGTTCCGTGAGCGACACAACGAGCAGCAGCGCGCCGCATGCTCCCACACTGCGCGCAATTCTGCTTGCATCGGGCGAGCCTGGGGCGCGGCGCTCCATGACCAAGGGATGGAGTGGTCACACACAGCTATGATTCCCATCATCTGCACCTAACGACCCTCTTGTGCCGCTCCCTCACCGCTTGCTTGCGCTGCTGGACCTCCGCCGCTCCCAAAGTGTGAGTGAGAGGAAGCTCAAGTCAGCTGTGGCGCGCACATACTAGCACCACCCGCATCCTCCAGCAACCTGCCGTTTGAAAAGCCGTGATGCATTTGTGCTGCATCTGTGGAGACCGCCGGTTCGAGATGCAGATGCTTCATACCATTGGAACGAAAATGCTCGGCCCGATGCACCCCCCTTGATGTAGATTCAACTGCAAGTGGGCGGCCATCGGCTCGGGCGCGTCCAACGTGGTGCACATGTACTTCGGCAACAGCTGCCTGGCCATGCCCCACCTGGCGCACATGGTCTTTGCGGTGGTGGTCTTCTTTGTCTTCTGCACCGCCTGCTTGGCCCTGGTGGGCCTTTGCATTTTTTTGAGCTGCGGCTCAGGGGAGGGGGCAGGGGGAGACCACCTCCTGGTTCGGATGGAAGGGAAGCAACAGCCCCTCGCAGCTCACAGGTCGCGCAGGGGTTTAGAGGTTGGCAAGGGTGCTTGCAGCTGTGTGCGGCCCTCTTCCATAGTCCTCTTGGCTGTGATCGGCCTTCCGTTTCGGCCTGCTGCTCACCAACACCGCAAATGATTGCCCCTCGTCCCTCTCAACTCGGCTGCCCGCCCAGTCGGTTGGCGACTGCGACCTCAACCCGTTGACGCGCAACGTGCTGGCCACGCCGTCGGTGAGCGGCTGGATGCCATTGGCTCAATGTGTACAGCTGGTGGTGGTGGTGTGTGTGTGTGTGTGTGCGCGCGCGCGCGCGTGCATGCGTGCGTGCGTGCGTGCGGGTGAAGTGACAAGACGTGTCGGTGCCCAATCACATGAGCATCACGAGTGGTGCGCAAGAAGCACCCTTTAAACCGAACCGCAAACATGGCGTGTCCTTTGCAGGCTGCCGCCCACATCAAGATGATTGTCTGCAAGGTGATTTCTGGTCCTGCATCCTTTTCGGTGCCGCACCACAGCCTGCGTGGCACCACACCTCGATTGGCAGCATTCAACCCGCAGCTGCAGCGTTGCTGGTGGCTTCAGTGCTCACAGCTGACTCCCAGCCCTGGTATTTCCAAACCCAAGCTGTGCGCCGCACTACGTGCAGCGCCGACGCGTGCCGCTCGGTCCCCCAAACCTCTCGCTGTGCCGCAGATGGTCATGATCGTGCTGGCGGCGTGCGCGGATGACAACGCCAAGCTGCAGGCGGTGGCGCTGGCGCTGCTCATGACCTACATCTGGTGGACCATGCTGTCATCGGTGAGGGGTCAGGGGG